TGCGGTAACGATTGGGAAACCTCACTTTTACGGCAAGATATGCAAATGCATGAAACACAATGATGGGAATTCTTCATCAAAGCTGGAACAGATAGAATCTGAAGCAGTTGCCCATGACACCCAATCAGCATCTCTCTTCAGTTTGCTCAGTTGAGATTTGAAAATGAGAGATAGAAGCTGATTGGTTGCAATGCAAATCTGCTCCAGTTTTGATAAATTCCCCCCAATGTGGTGTTGTGCCTTTCACTTTAAATGGCCCCAATGCACTAAGCTATCACAGCGCAATGCACTTGAGTTTTAGCACACCACGAGGTACCGATGTGCACCATGCGCTGCATTGTAAAAAAATACTGCATGCACGTTAAAATATACATGGCGCATGTAATACTTAAAGGAGAACTATGGTGTCAGGGCTTTTCCCCATAGTTCTCCTTAGGGTAACGGGAGGACACAAACTAGCGTCCTCCCGTCACCCTAGGCTCAGTATATAAGGAGCTACAGCTCGCGGTATACTGAGACGCCGCAGCCGGAGCGGATCCCGACATCGATGTCGAGATCCGCCCAGCTGCTTGATTGACAGCTGGCTCTGCCTATCTAGAGGCAGAGCCAGCTGTACCAGCCCCCTCCCCCGTCCATTCCGCCAGTCAGCGCTGGCGGATCGGAGCGGGGAGGGGGGAATCCAGCCCCTCCCCCTGTCACGTCAGAGAGCCGTGACAGGATCTAGAGGTGAGCGAACGCCGGTATGTGTTCGCTCACCTCCCGATCTACTGAGCCTACAATGAGACTGTCACAGGTCGGCTAGAACTATGAGGTGAGTGAAAAGCACCCGCCCCTCATAGTTCTCCTTTAAAATTAGAGACTTTATCAAAAAAAGGCAATTTCCGAGTAAGAGCTGACTTAACCCACCTTGGCCTAAAACTCTTCCTGGTCACATTTACAAATCGGGAAACCAAAAACAACAACACTTCCTCAGAGCTCTACTGGCAATGGCACCATATGAGCCACTGATTCCCTGGCATGACACGCCATGGCAATCCTGCACATGCACACCAGTGGGAAGAAGACTTGCACGTTTATCTTGACAATGACAAATGGAAACACATTTGTACCCTCACCCAGAAATGCTCTACAAGCTTTAACACTACTCACACTTCTCAAACTTCTCTCGAAATGGTATATGACCCCATACAAAATGTTCCCAGGTACCTCCAACTTATGTTGGAGGGGATGTGGAGCCATCCTCCACGTTTGGTGGGAATGCTCCTTGATCACCTCCTGTTGGAGGTGTGGAAATCCACCACACTACTGATAGGCTGACTTTCCAAGCTTCCCCTTCACACCCCAAAACGACCAGGGACGTGCAGTCAGGGGAGGCAGGTGGGGCAGAGCCTCACATAGTATTATGGAGGAAAAAGCTGTCAGCTTTAAGTCTGAAGCTGACAGCTTTTTCTCCATTCAGATCGGCTTATATCAGGTTACAGAGCAGAGAAATCCTCCCCCGCTGTGTAACCTGCCATGGACGGAGCGCTGGATGTTAATTACAGGCGACGCTGCATCCGGCTTTTGACAGGTAGTTAGGTTGCACAGCAGCGAGCTTCACCACTGCTTGTGTAACCTAACTATTGAGGAAAGAGCTGTCACAGCCTCTACTCTGTGTTAGAGGCGTGAGCTCTGTGGATGGCTTGGACCAATGGCAAAGCGCCATTGGTCCAAGCTGTCCAATCAAAACAAGAAGAAAAAAAACCCCACTGAGGCCATTAATCTCGATGCCTCAGGAGTGACGAGCAAGTGAGGGACAGGGAGGCTCCTCCCTGTCTCCTCCCTCACACTAGCTTGGGGACCGGTTTGGGGGCGGGGCTTCAGCTGGCAGGGCGGGGCTTCGGACG